AAGGAAAACAAGTGTCTCGTTGGGCCTCACCGTTAGCCCGCCGTGGGTGTCTCTTCGTGGTTTAGAATACCAAATCAGGCTTGACTCCGCTTGGGTTTTGCTCAGCTGAGGTGCGGGGTTGTGCTGGGGCTGGGGAAGGAGGCTGCACTGTGGCCCTCGTACCCGATCGTGGGGCACAGCAGGTGATGCTCCTCCTTGCTTTCGGTGCTCACAAATTCCTTTGTTTAATTGATTAATTGAAATTAAAGCGGTTACAGAACGGTGCTCCGTTCTCGGCCAGAAGAATTGACGACAGGCTGGCTAACGAAGCCCACGCCAAGCTGCATTTCGATGTATTGCAACGTGTCTGTGTCCTGTCCAGGAGCTGCGTGTTGTTTCTCTTCCGAAACAAAGAGCATCAGGTTCAAGAATCACGTCCAGTCCCACGTTGTGGCTGTGCGGGGCGGGGGGGGGGCCATACCACATCTTGGTCAGGTAACAGATCCATATCTTTTTGATGGAAAAGCACTGAGTTCACTTTTAATCCAAAGGCCTTTTTAAGATGAAGCAATATGAAAGAAACGGGGGACAGCTGTTCTGTGAGCTGGGGTCCTCAGCCTTCCTTCTTTCCATTTGAGTATACTACTGCTCTCCCCCTCCCCTCTCCCTCGCCTGGGAACCTGGCAGGCTCCTGGGAAAGGCCAGAAGTAATTGCCTGTGAAGCAGTGTGGTGTTCCAAGGAGCGGTGGTGATTTATTTGGTAATGATAAAGAAAACAGAGTTGCGGACTTGATCACGCCGTAACAGGAACGTTTCCTTCCCTGTCCAGCAGAGCATGGCGTCCTCCAGCACAGGGTTAGCGGGTGGGAGTTAGCAAGGGCTGCAGCGCGCCGTGGTCTCCATTTTGCTCATCCTGTATTTACTGGGGAGCAGTGACCCCTGCTTTCTAACTACGCATCACTGCTCAGACATCCAGTGCTGAAGGAGGGTTGAAGTATTAGAAATACTGTCGCAGAATCCCAGCATGGTCAGGGTGGGCAGGGACCTCTGTGGGTCACCCAGCCCAACCCCCTGCCCAAGCAGGGTCACCCAGAGCAGGCTGCACAGCACCGCGGCCAGGCGGGGCTGGAATATCTCCAGAGAAGGAGACTCCACAGCCTCCCTGGGCAGCCTGGGCCAGGGCTCCGTCACCCTCAGAGGGAAGAACAGCCTTCTCTTCTCCAGGCTGAACAAGCCCAGCTCCCTCAGCCTCTCCTCGTAGTGGAGATGCTCCAGTCCCCTCATCATCCTCGTAGCCAGATATTCGTAAGCATTTATTATGTCCCCTCGCAGCCTTCTCTTCAGGCTACAACTGCAATCTAAAAAAGAAAAAAACCCACCCACAAAAATTACTCCCAGCTTTCCGCCATGCCGCGCACACGGTGGCGGTGGCTGTAGGCCAAGGAACGGCCCCCGGGCTGTGCCCGTTCCCCTGCCATCTGCGGGCGTGCACAGGCAGAGGGGCAAACAGCGGTTGGCTTCTCCCGTTGCAGCCCCGGACGCTGTAACGGGGATAATCTCACTCCCTGGGTGGACCTGAACATCAGCAGCGACTGGGGCAGCGGCGTCTCACTGCCTGCTTCCCTCTCTTGTGCCGCAGGAGGAATTTCTGCCATTGTTTGAGGTCTCGGGCGCAGTGTAAAATGGTGTCAAGCTGTGTGCCCACTACTGAGAGCAGGGTCTGGCTGTTCCTGATTAACTCGAGCCTTGTCTAGACGTGAAGGGTGTTTACAGCAGCGGAAATCACAGACTAGTAGGGGTTGGAAGGGACCTCTGTGGGTCACCTAGTCCAAATCCCCTGCCGAAGCAGGGTCACCTACAGCAGGCTGCACAGGACCTTGTCCAGGCGGGTCTTGAATATCTCCAGAGAAGGAGACTCCACAACCTCCCTGGGCAGCCTGTTCCAGTGCTCCGTCACCCTCAGAGGGAAGAAGTTCTTCCTCATGTTCAGACGGAACTTCCTGTGCTTCAGTTTGTGCCCATTGCCCCTTGTCCTGTCGCTGGGCACCACTGAAAAGAGCTTGGCCTCATCCTCCTGACACCCACCCTTCAGATATTTGTAGGCATTTATAAGGTCCCCTCGCAGCCTTCTCTTCTTCAGGCTGAACAAGCCCAGTTCCCTCAACCTCTCCTCGTAGTGGAGATGCTCCAGTCCCCTCACCATCCTTGTAGCCCTCCGCTGGACTCTCTCCAGTAGCTCTTCATCCTTCTTGAACTGGGGAGCCCAGAACTGGACACAGTTAGACACATCCGTTCCTGTCTAAGACAGATCCCCCAGTATAATCCAATTTAAAGATTGTTGCTAGTTACAAACTGAACTGAAAAAGTCATTCTTGCCTCCAATAAGAGCAAAGAGGTTTTGCTGGCATAATTGCATCAGTTCTGTTCACACCTTGGCTTCGATCGGTGTCATTATTCTGGGCTGACACGGCTGCCTAAGAGCGGGAAGGAGAAGATGCTGAAGGAGCAGCAGGCTGTGATCTGCCGGCTCGCTCCTGGCGCTCGCAGGCTCGTCACCCTGCGGCAGCTGCAGCTCCAAAAGGCCGTTCCGTTGCTCCTCGCAGCACTGGCTCCGGCTTGTTCTTCCCTTTGAATTTCACAGGCGTTCTCTGTAGCGCGTGGGTTGGGTTTTCTAGGCCACAGACCCCTCTCGTGAGCCTGCTCGGGAAGTGCGAGACGCTGCTGTTGCATGCGTTGGCCAGCTTGGCTGTCACCGTCCCAGGTGGGGATGGATGGTGACCACGAAGGTCGCGGTGGCTCCAGACTTGTCCTGGCCAGCGTAGGCATCTCGCACGATGACTCGCAAGTTTACAACTCTGTTCAGTGCCTTAGTTATATTTTAACAGATCAGCACTTTTCTTGGGCTACTTTTATTCTGTTCATTTTTAAGAAAAGAAATTCTTTGACTTGCATGTCTTTGATTTTAACATATGTTATGGGCTACTAGGTGAAACTTGATGGAACGGTCTCCACAGGTTTGCAAGGGGGCATTAAGTAGTTAGGAAATCATTGGAAACAGTGGGGCTCAGTGTAATAATCACTGCAAGTACTGGCCGACACAACACCTCGAAAGCTTTGCGTGTTTTACAGTGCTGGTTATTGAATAAAATACTCCAGAAGGGGGAAATCCTGCAGCCTGTATAGGAGCGTTCCCTGCGTGGGATCAGCCTGCTGCTGCCATGCTGCTGCCCCCCCCCCTGCCAGTCTCCACTCTTCCCATCACCCGACCTTCCCAGTGATCATTCCAGCAAGATAATAAACCTGCCTTCACACTGGATTTATAAATGCAAGGGATGTCGTGACGCAGTTTAAAGCATTAGACTTTGGTTCCCCAGGTATTAAATTAATAGCACTATAGTAAATGCAGTCATAAAAAAGATCTGCGATAAAATGTTTTCAAAGCCTAACAGCAAACTGTGTTTGTGGCACTAAAAGCAACCTGAGTGAGAAAAGATACTCAGCTTTAAATTTTCTCTTCTGGGCTGCATCCAAGTCCTGCAGCGTGAGAACTAGAAATACGGCCTGACCAACAGAGTTTCACTTTCCAGTGGAAAAAAACCCCACGTACGCGTTGCAGTGGAGGAGCGAACGCAGCTCTGTAAATGAGTTCAGGTTTTGAGATGGATTGGTAGCACAGGGAAGGAATTTTGTGTGAAATTTTAATGTCCCTTCTTAAATCAAAAGGAAAGACCAAGATGCTTAACAGTTAATGCTGCTCAGCGGAGCTGTACCTTTTTTGTGGTGGTAAGAAATGGCTGATGGGGCTGCAGTTCCTGGTCCGGTCATTAGCAGCCAGGAGGTATCCTCAGGTCGTTACTTCTGACGGGGTCGTTGGCGCGGCTGCAGAGGCAGCAAAGACCATCCCGGGGCGTGCACAGGGGGTAGAGGAAGCGGGACGTGGGGCTCTCTCCTCCAGGCAGGCTCGGTCTGACGGTGCACGTGAGCCACTGGAAAATGGGCAGCCACCAACCGGC